TATTGATAGTGATTTTTTTCTTCATAGATTTATCGAGAAGTTGATAAGCCAACGTATCGACGTGGGCATATGATCTGTGGTGGAATGATGGCTGTCAGTGTGATAACTACCATTATGTTGCGCATTTGTTTAATGAGAGAAAATTATCGACGAACACATTTATCACCTGAGAAGTATGCACGTGAAGCAGCTATCAAAGAACCTTGCGATCGAGTAAGTTCATATTTGGTTTCTTATTTTACAACATTGTTCTCTAATTATCTTTAGCATCCAAACGTACGCTACTTCTTGTGACATGAAAGCTTTTGTATGTATTTACCAAAATGACCATGAACATCAAATATATTTTAAATTCATTCAGTATCAATTCATTTTGTACTTTTTGAAGCAATAAATTATTGTCGAACATTTGAAAATGCAACGAAATTTCTTCCGAGGAAGTGACGCTTTTTATTTGCTTGAATATTTGCACTTGCAATAGGAGAATATGTAACTTTATACCAAGTGTTCTTCCTTCCATTTTACATTTAATCCAGAACTTAAAAGAAAAAGAGCCTCGATATCAAATATAAAGGAAGTAACGCTGCTGCTGTACGCTTGTTATGCTTGTGCTAGACACGTGCTTAGTATTTGCTTTAGATTTTTCTGACGTGTTTATAAGGTCTACTCAATACATAGCAGATCAGCGCGTAGAGAGAAATAGAGACCCAATCGAACCGAGTTTAACTAGTTCAAGTTTTTTTCAGTTCGTATTTATTTTCTTAAAAGCAGTCTGTCTTCAGTTCGGTTCGAGTGCATTTGAGAAACAAAACGGTTCATTTTCAGTCTGTGATAAAAAATATTCATTCAAATTTAGGTGGCTTATCCCTCACAGCATCGTGCTTTAACAAAAAAATCACAACTCTGTTCGTTTTTCAAGAAGTCTTTTGGGCTCGGTTCGGTTCGTTTCAAGTCTATATAGCTAAATAGGGTGTGGGTGTGGGTATGAGTTTGGGATTGATATATAGATGAAACATCAACACCTACACCCACACCCACACCCCACACCCTATTCGTGTTTATGGGTTTTGTTCATTTGTTTATGAATGGTGCTGAAATCGATAGTCCTCTCGTGGTTTTCTTAGTTTTGATGAAGATAGCATAGGTGATATGGAAGGAATCATCCTATGTATTTTTGTATTAAACCCCCCCTCATAATAAAAGACCCCCCCATATTAGAAGACCCCCCGTTTTAGAAGACCCCTCCGGAGGAGTCACTTCATAGAAATTTCTTTTTTTCACCAGCAAAAATTTACAAAATTTACAAAAGTTCGCTGGACCATAATAGAAGACCCGGGGTCTTTTATTGTAGGGGGGGGTTTAGTATATGTTGTAATTGGTGCACTAGTCGGAATATACAAAAGTGCGATGATTCTAAAGAAAATAATGAAATATCATACAAACAAATTATGGTCACAACAAAAAGCAGAAATATCTAATGCCAAAGATTTTCAGGAACAGAGAAAACTATTGGAACAATATTTGAAAAATAGTTTTCGTATATCATACTAAACTATAATAAGAAGATTTTTTAAAAATAAATTTATCTCTACTTTGTTAAGAAAAAATCTGTTACTGTAATTCCTACGGAACTAAAATATAAATGGTAATCTACCTGTGATTGCTAATCTCGTAAAAATTAGTGTTTTTTATGCATATTGAGACATATATCGTCATCATTGTTTATTTTACAGTATTGTGCTTATATGATCTCCAATATTTCTTTGACACCCACTTATCGTGATCTGTGATGAGTAATTAATTCAAAATATCTGTCAATATCTGTGATAGAAGAATTTCAGACAGGCGTCGTAGTTGTCCTATAAATCCTATTAATTTGAAAATGTTTTTCTCAGTTTTCCAAAAAGAGTTAGTTTTTTTTTTAAGTGCTGTAAATTTTGTCGAAAAGGCCGAATATGTTCATTCACACATGGTCGAGTCCATCTTTATTCATTCTTATACAACTGTTTATGAAGATGACTTGTATATTGCAGAGTTCTCCTGAATTTTTGTATGGTATTTTCCTTCCAATCATAGTTGCCTAATCTGGTATTTCTTTTCCAGAATAATTTCTTTAGTTTGTGTTACGGTTGTCTTCAAAATAGCAAATGAGACCATATTCATGCATACTCGAATTTCCTCTTAAACGTTATTCGAGTAGGAGGTAATATTGTGTAGAGAGAAAAACCCACGACTGTTGCAAATATTAAAAGTGTTTTTGCTAAATCCACTATCGAAAACATTATTGTTTTCAATACTCTAATTTGCAATATTGATAATAGAACAAACGATCATCCTATTACATGGATGTTATGAGATTATTTCAAAGTATATAATTGAGACATCGCCGTGTGTTAAGCAGGATTTATTTTGAAAAATCCAAAAAGAAAGAGTCGTCCATTCATGACAGAATTCACATTTCAAATTTTGTTAGGATATTATCTACTTTAACGTTTGTTCATGTGTATATCTATGTTGATTATGAAGCTCTTACATGCTTCTCACAGTAGTTATCATAAACATGGCTCGAGTAGGAACAAAAATGATGAACTATTTTTCTGCCTCTTTAAGTCTTCTATTTTATATTTGTTGTATAGCTATTATATCATGGTAACATGTTTTATCCTTTGATTTTGACAAATTTCAACTTGAATTCATTGGCAATTTATATTATAATATGAAATGCAGGTTCTGAATAATATGCATGTCATTGAAATTTGTTTTACGAAATCCGTCAGTTTTTTTTTTCTATAATACTCTATCCTATATATTCCTGTATGTTTAACAGGAACCACTATAGAGTCTGATCATTCGTCAAATTAACATCGGAGAAACGAAATAAATAAATAATTGACATGGTCGTATCATAAGTTTTCATGTAGAAACTCGTTTTGCGAGTGCAATATAAAGTATTTATTAATTCTAATCGTATACGTGTTCTGGATTTGTTAATAATCAAATAACGCATAATCTCAAACATTTTTTGCTAATGGATCTGCTAAAGTGTGTAAATGTGTTATATAAAAATCTTAAGGAAAGAAAGAAGCAGAAGTAATCGTAGAAGGAAGAAAAATAAAAATGGCAAGTCACGTATATACAAGTAATTACCAAAAGTATGCTACAATTAACGTTGATTTGGAAACATAACAATCTAAATGGCAATAAAGCTTATGGCAAGAGAACCGTGTTAAATGAACTGGAAGTATATTTACACAACTATATGTAATGAATAGTCGGATTAATCTTGTATCAATCTCTGCATACGATACGCAACAAAGGTAGCTTTCGTCTCTTTTTTTCTGTTCTTCGCAGAGATGTACAAGAAAATGCCGGAGTTGACGGAATCATCCATTCAAAACATGAGACGTATCGTCATTCATGGTATAAGAGAAGCACAACAAAAACGTTCTTATACGTCAGTACCGCTAATTAACATTGAATGCTGACGACGATTGTCTGTTTGGAGTTTTTGTTTTTCACATATTTTCTCCGTTCTATTTTCTTTAGTCTGACGGTTTGCTGCAACTAAAGAAAATAGAAATACTCAGTAGTTCTGTAAGCTTCTCTGATTAACAACTGGCAAAGTAATAGAATTTTCCCTTTCGACATTCATCTCGATGAAGACGTGAATTCTTCATATGTTATTTAGTTACTGAGCTCGATTATTTTTTCTTTGATAACGTAGAAATTATAGAAAAACCAGTGCCATTTAGATCGACATATACTTGTTTTTCTTCAGTCTAGATTGTAAGGAGACCCAAAAAAAGTTTGAGGCGCATAAGAGATAATGGTTTGCTTTGTCAACAACGTTGACTTATATACAAACTTATTCTTAGAATCCATTGTATTACGATGAATTCAAGTTGAAAAGAACTAGATGAGACAAAAACAAATCATTGTTTTATTGAATAAGATTTAAGTCCGATATGGTAATATAGTCATAGCTAGCATATTCATCATCCACGCTTATCTTTGAATGAATATCTTAATTCGAAAATTGAGATAAACAAAAGAGTATATAGTATTAATAATTTGATAGTTCTTTAAAAAAACACCGACTCATCTATGTTCTTAAGATAAAAACGTATCTAGCACATCATTCATCATGCATAGGTGTGTATATTTTAAAAGGACAAAATATATTCATAATCTCAAGCATAAAATCGACTCTGTCTTTACTTTTAGATTCTACTCAATATACCATAATGCATCAAAATACATTAGATGATATCGTTGTTTTGGATCTTCCTCTTACATCTACTGATGAACCTGAAATAAATATAGATACCCATACATCTGGGTATGAATACCCACAGATTGATTTTAGTAGTGAATGGAGAGATCGTTGCTTTGCTATTGTATTCTGGATTCATACAAGTGTTGTCATATTAGTGGGTTCAATATTAGGAATACCGGCTATCAACTCATACATTAAGAATAACCTATTTTATGAACTACAAGATGTATTATTCGTTCTTTTTATTAAAACTGCTCTTTATGGATTCATCAGTATAATGATTGCTACTGTATTACCTGTCTTAATCATATTTTTTCTTCTACAATTATGTGCCGGCCAACTTATAAAATGCTCATATCTCATAATAATAATCATTCAAGTTATTTCGGCAGTACTGCTCTTATTTGAATCGTGGCCAGCTAGTTTTATACCTCTTGGTTTTCTGTTAGTCACGTTGATTTATTTAACGTGTGTTCGAAAATTAATCTCGTTTGCTGAAGTTCACTTACAAACAGGATGTGCTCCTTTACGTAGTTATCCATCTTTAAAATTCATAGCGATGGTCATGTTCATTGTTGAAATCTTATGGTTTGTCTGCTGGTTTCTGATGGTAATAGGTATTCACCATTCTTTCTTTAATTCTACGTCAACTGAAATAATGAATATGAACAGGAATATGTACGATGAAGAAAAATTTTATTTGTACAATACCAAACCTATATCGATGACGACAACTAATCCTGTTATGGATATGACAAGCATACGACTCGACAACACAACATATTTAATAGGGGAACAACTAAGAACGATCGATAATGATTTTTATTTAAATGATCAACATGTCCAGAATATTGATAGACCACAAAATTTGAATTCACATACAGTAAAATGGAATAGTATTTATATTCGTATTATCGTTTTATTTCTACTATTACTATCATGGTGTTGGGGTGCAGTTACATTTGGAAATATTGCTCATTTCCTAACAGTATGTACTGTTGGTCAATGGTGGTTTCCTGGTGAATATAGTCAACAGTATTCAATTAGAAATAGCATTAAACGAGCATTTACGACAAGTTTCGGTAGTCTTTGTTACGGTTCACTATTTAAAACCTTAATAAAGCCTAAGCATTTGCCAACTACTGAAAATAATTGTCGAAAAAATATTTTCTCATGTGTTTTCAGTTGTATTTTTCTAACAGTCAAAAGAGCAATGAGTTATTTTAATGAATGGACATTTATTTACTCGACACTTACTGGTCAAGGATTTGTTGACTCTAGTCGAAGCTTTACAGAATTATTTCAAAAACGTGGATGGACAGTAGTTATTAATGATAATCTTATCGAAACAAGTTTCCTGATTAGCAATATTGGAATAGGTATTGTTTCAGGTGTACTCAGTGGTCTTCTTATGCATGTTCTAATAATACAATCATCAAACCGGTTTTATATTATATGTGCTATTAATTTTCTAATAGGCTTTTTAATTAGTACAGTTTTTACGAGAATTCTTCTATTTTCTGTTCGAACAGTATTTGTTTGCTTTGCTCTCAATCCGGTAGCATTGGGTGTGACACATCCTGAGTATTTACAAAAGTTGACCAAAGCTTGGCATAAATTTTATCCAAAAGAATTCGCAAATAGTGGTTATACTGATAATATCGTTGAGTCGACGGCTTAATCAAAAGACTTCTACTGTTTGATATTGATGAACAATTTAAATATTCATTGATATTTGTTGATGACAAAACAAAAACATTTTTCTTGTATATAAAGAACAACTATTTGTAGTTTCTCCCTAATACTTTACTAACCTTGTCAATTGTAAATATTAACTTCGATTTTAATAAATGAATGTAAGACAAAATAAAAGAGTGGTACAGCGTCACGTAAAAACAGAATATGAATTAATTCGGTATGTCGATATGAATCTTATACGTAGACTGCCTAACCCTAATTCGGTCACGAACTTTGGCCTTTTTAGAAAAAAAGTTCGTAACTTCTCTCTCCAACATTCGTTCGAAGTACTTTTTGTTTCCGGAATAGGAAAAACATTTCTCTATCTTTCTATCATTTTTTTTTCATTCTGCTTCATTCCTAATTCGATCATTCCAGCTATTTCGATAGGAAACTTCGGAACAAAAGTTGTTTTCATATGAAAAATATCTTTAATCACAAAACAAATTATACTATTGGATTTCTCAGCTCAAAATCTATATTTTCATATGGTTGTTATTATGGTAAAGTGTAATCTTCATTGAGTTTGTCTAGGTACAATAAAATGATGTTTGTGATCGAATTAGGATGAGTTTCATAATTCGATCATTCCAGCTGCTGTAAGCTCCTTATTTGATCATGTAATGTAAAATACATGGAATCTTAAGGAATGATTGAAAAACCGTTGCCAGGCTCTCAGTTTATGGAATCTCGAGTTGGTCTTGCTACAAAAGTTGTAGCATACGCTAAAAACTATCTATATGCAGAATATGAGCACAATAACTGGTATTCACTATGTTATGTCATTTCTTCACAAGAATATCATCAATTTTTACTGTGATTTCATAACAAGAAAGCAAAAGATGTGAAACTTTGTTTTAATTTTTCGTCTAACATCGAATACGGATAGAATAAATCGCCATCTGGCTCCAATAATTATAGTTGCATGATCATGATTCGACCAATCCTTTCGAATCTTGTGTACAATTATTATCTTCTGCACGCCCGAGTAGAGCAGCTGCCTACTTCGAGCTCGGGTACAATTCGAGAGTTCTTAAAGAAATGTAAGCTTATAATTAATCATAACCTAGAACTTAGTTTTAGGTATTGATTTTTATAATTCGTATTCATACATGACTGTCTTTATATATAAATTATAAATAAGCAAAACTATAACTAAATCTGTGCCTATCTATTGTTAATTGTATAGTGGAGATTGCATAGGAACTATAAATGTATGTAACTAAAACTACATGTATTCTTATTATACACTAAAGCTCTAGTTCAAGTGTTTTTTCTTCATCTACTGCCAAACTTGTATCAAACATTTGAGTCTTCATTCTATATTCGGAACCCAATTAAGAAACTCATGGCTGCAGAACTCGCCGATGCCTCATCAAGTACTATTCGCCACCATCGTCAAGATTTATTAATGAGAAGCCAGATAAGTCGTCCATAGTGCCCAAATAATACTGAATAATCTTATTTTCTTGCTTTGCTTAAACTTTGACCTGATTTTGGTTGTCAAGTTACACATGATATAAGTAAAAGATTAAAGAGTGATCATTTTAAACCACCGAATTTTTTCGGTCATTCTGGTAAAACATGATACCTAAAAAACAACTTTTCTCTCTGAAATTAAATAATCTCAATGTATCTCTATGAACAAGATGGTTTTCATTTTATTTTATTTTAAGAATCAGTCATACAGTAAATAGAATGTAATCGAATATGCTTTGTACTTGGTGTGGGTATGGGTGTGGGTGTGAGTGCGAATGACTGGAACATCTAGATCCAGATGCATACACCCACACCCACACTCACCAATAACAATCATTTGAGTATGGCAAGATTTGGAAAAAAATCTTTTATTCATAATCGTATTGAACTATGTATTCAGGATATGCTTGATAATGATTGAAAATACAAAATTCATCGATCTGATGTGTATTGGAAAAGTGTACCGCATGAAAACCTTGTGGCGGTGATTGAAGACCATTTTTACCTAGTGTCGTTTGTCCAAGTAGTACTTGACAAATAAAAAGTTCACGTCGATGGGGAGTCTTTTTCATCACATATGGATCATTATTCGAATAACTTGCATTTAGAGCAAAATAGATCCCATCACCGATGAGACCATTCGGACAATAACTCCAATAGAAACCATGAAAAGTAATCAATTTTTGTTGTGATAACGAAGCAGTACCATGAATAAGACGTGTACTAGTACATTGAATTGTTCGTTGTACTTGTTGATAAATATTCCACAATCGAATATTTTGAATTCGAATAATCGAATAGATCACTGTAGATGGACGTCCAAGTGACTTAATAAAATAATTAGATATCTCTTGAAATTCTTGAGATGATCGAACAAGTGGAATCAGTTGTACAGATGAGTCAGTTGGTGATACATTAGTCCAATGGGAAGGAAATTGAATGGTTGGATCAACAATTGTATCGTTTCGGAGTGCTAATTCTTTCTGTAGAATACCCAACATAGAATTACCAATGCGAGATTGTCCTTGTGCTGGAAGTTGAGTAAAATAGTCAACAAGATCTTTCACTTCAGAATCAGTTTTCGTCATAACAAAATTGTAGGGATCATTGGTTAATTGTGCGATTTCGTAATTAATTCCATCGACCACTTTATCGTATAGATTATTTGATACTATCGTCTTTCCATTATTCCATAGTGTGTCAAGTTCTTCCTGAAGTTGGCACAGTTCATGTAGTTGAAGACTGCCGAGATAACGAATTCCTTCGCTAGCAAGTTTGCTTGCGTGCATATTTGGTTCTGTTCGACAGATATTCAGATGACTGCAAAAAAAATCGAACTGTCTTTCAATGCGAAAATAAGTCCAATGATTTTTATTTCTTACAGAAAAAAAACTACTGACACCATGATTGTGAAAGACGGTTATGAATAATTGGAGATATACATGAAAGAACGAACGAAAGAAACAATTCTTGACAACATCGTCATCACGTGTGTGCAAACCCATGTCGCCTATTCTTTGTCGATTGCGTCGCAGTTATCGTAGTGAAAGCTTATGCGAAAAGTTACGGTTACTGCGACGCAGTTACGCAAAACTGTGTAGAAGTATGCTCATCGTAAGATTTATCGTAATTGATATCAACTAGTAATAAGTGACTCCTTCTTTTTTATAATTGGTCACATCCTAGCACAATAACTTAGTTGCACAGAGATTATAAAAGTCATTCTCTGTGAGAATTCTGTTCACAATTAATTCCGTCGTGATAGATTAAATATGTATTCCGAATGTAATTTTTTAATATCATTTTAGCTTTTCACAATTTTTATTGGTTTTTAATTTTTGTATTGTTTATAATAAATTTAAATTTTTTGAATCAAATCTTTTTTTCTTTTAGATCTTTTTCTTTTCATTTTTAATATTCTACAATTTTAAATTTTTTTTCAGAATTCGGGTTTTTAAATTTTTTTGATTTGTTTAGGTTTTTTAGTTTAAAAAGAATTAGTGTTGATTTTTAAATTTATTTCGCTAAATTTTTAAACTTTATTCAATTATTAATTTTTGAAATTTTTTAATAACTGTTTATTTTGTTATTTTTTCCAGTTGCTAATTTTTTGTATTGTAAAAACTTCCTATAATTCGTAATAAAAACTGCCAGAAAAAATCTCATATGAGTCGAGTGTTTTTGGAAGTGCGACGCAGTTCAATCGTAATCAAAAATATGGGCAGGGTCGGCATTAATAGAAGCATCACAGTGCAATATAAGTTAAATTAAAAACAGACACAACAGAAGATAGACACTTGTTTTACATTAAAATTATCAATCAGGTACTGTGTGTCGTTATTTGATCAATCTATCGAAGACTTTTTGCATTGAGAACCATGTAAACAGAAATATAAACAAGACAATCTCTCTTTCATGTATCAAATCTATTTTTTATCTGCAATCGAGTTGGCTTACTCATTTGCTCTTTTGTCTAAAAAAAGAACACACTGACTCTATATGTAAGCAAACAATGCGTGTGCTACTCCTCTCTTTAGAACTGTTATGAGTAACTACTTAATGCTGGGGGTTTGAGTCAGATTGCTTTTTCCAATTTAAACTCTAAAATATCGTATCTGAGCATGAATTTAGAATGCAAATAGCATGATGGAAATCACAGATTGATTAAAATTGGACAGTATAAATCAATAACTGATTGCGTAAGCGTTCTAAAGTAGAAGTTCAAAGTTATCTTTCAGTCTAGCTATACAAAAAAGGAAACATGAATTGAAAACGAATCCGAAATCTCATGATGAATATTTTACTATTGGTGGATACATGATTCAAGCAAGCAAATAGATGTTCATGCGAATGAATGTCGAACAATACAGATGCACTGGTATCAAGAATAACAATACGTCCTACTAATTCATGCTCATTAGCATCTTGATCCTTTCGATACTGACTGTCTCATGACAGTGCAGCGGTTTCGCCCATAGACATTATACGCGTTATTAACGATTGCTAATTCTCACCCCAATAGCTATCACACCACGTGCCACCATCATTCAAATTAATGTTTTTAACATCGAAGCTTGCAATCAGAGTAGTTCGTACTTCACATAAGGAAATAGCCTCGACCATCAGTCGTCCTTGTCACCATTTATGACAAGAACATCTATCGATGGCTTCCTTTGGGAATTGAAAGCAAAGTTAACGGTGACACGCTTGGCGAACTGTTTGTTCATTCGGTTAAGATGTACTGGTTTTCAATAAAATATACTTTTTCATACAGATTTTACTAGCTATTCTAAATGATAAGTATTCTTTATGACCAACAGCAATAAATACAAGGAAAACGTTATCCTTATATTAATTATCAGTTACAAAAAGAATTCTTACGAACCTAGACGAATAAATTTTGGATGCTAAAAATGGAGACATTCCGACTTTTTATCAAGTAAAATCGGAAAGAAACGCCACAAA